TCAACAGCTGTTTGTAACAGCTGTTTTCTTCGCAGTGGCGCCATCTATGAAAATTTCTGGTATGCAACATTAAAAATTAATCTATTGTGAATGATATGCAGTTAAAATTATTTAAATCCTTTAACTTTCAAAAAATGGTTTTTGGCCAGAAAAAGTGGTCAAATTTCCTATAGTGGAGTGGTACTCGCACACAAATTTTTATGGGTATGCATAGGGTGTCGAAAAGTGTCACCCGTGCCGTTCTCTGACCCGAACTATATAAAAAGTAACGAAAAAAAGCATTGCCTACTTTTCTGCGTAATTAGTGAAATTCGGCAACAGGGCCGGAACTTGGAGAGAGAGAGTGGCGGCGGCGTGCGGCGGAAAAGTGCAAGATGCATAGACAGAAATGCTGCAGCTCATTAGCAGAAAAGCCTACCGACAAAATTTGTGTAAAAGAGAGCACTGACAGGGATGCACTTCATAAATGTCACTTGAAATACATTTCCAGCAGGCACGTGCGTTCTGCAAAAAAGATGGGGCAGCCACTGACAATGGGTTAAAACTGAAACTGGGACTGGGACTGGAGTGGGGTGGGGGGGTGTCTGCAGGACACAATAGGGGGAAAAGGACTCTGTCTGGCCTTGCTCGCATACAAAACGAACATGAACGTGATGATTTGTCATGATTAACACTAGGGGGGTTTGGGGAATTCCCATTCTTCAATTGGAAAAAGCTGAAAACAGGGACTCTTCCCCCTCTAACAGTCGACTTTTGTTTGTTCTGCGTGATGTGTTCACATGTCAATGTCGCCGGGGGTACAGTCTGCCCCTCAGTCTCTAAATCATACCTCTCTTACTCTCTCTGTTTGTGTGCATATCTCTCTTTTTCTCACTCAGTCTTCGGGGGTCATAAAAGTTGAAACTGCTTTCTTTTCGTTTTTTTTTTGCAATTTTCAGTTTTTATGTGTTTGTTTTTTAATTTTATGATTTGTGCTGGGCACGCAACAATAACAATAACCAAAACCAGAAGAAATGGGAGTAAAACCAGAAAATACACTCTGCTACATGTATTTTGCACTTAACACACTTCCACCAACCAACACACACAGACACACACACACATGGACATTTCTCGGCTTTTGATTTCGCTTCTTACTTGCATTCCTTTTGGCTTTGTTCTAGCTTGCCCCCCGCCCACCTTTTCTTACTCTCAATCTTTCTCTTTCACTCTCTCTCTATACATCTCTCTTTCCTCTATTGTTCAAAAATGAAAAAGAAGAAAAACACACAAACACACGTGACGTATACGTAACCTTGTAACCAAAATGTTGTTATTTCGGTCCGCAATTTCCATATACATATATGTGTGTGTGTGTGCGTGTGTTTGTGTGTGGAAGTCTGCTGGCATTGTGTGGGTGAGCAAAAGTTCTTGGCATTATTTTAAGTGTTCTGCTCACCTGTGCTCTCCCCACTCCCAATCTATCTCTCTCTCTCTCTCTCTGTAGCTTTCTCCCCTCTAGCCTTTCTAGCCTTCTCTTCCTCTTGCCAGTTGGCATCATTTTTCTAAATTTATATTAATCCTTGTTTTAACTTCAAAACATAAATATGTGTATTAATGTGAGTTTTGTAACTGTTTTGTGTGCGTGTCTTAATGTTGTTTGTAAAATTTAATTCCGTAGTACCGTTGTACCTTTTTTCTAGATTTGATCACTTGTTTTCCATTTACTGTTATTTTCACTTGTTTTTCATTTTTCCTTCTCCTTCTTCTTATTTTGATATCCTGTTACACCCACACACTGACACACACAATCCACACTCACACAATGTTTGTTCTGCGTTTAATGTTAACTTAGCATTTTGAACGGAACGCTGATTTTTTAACTCCCTTTTTTTTTTTAAACTGTACTTACATAATCAAAAAGTAATATATAACATTTAACCAACACAACAAAGAGCAAACAAATAGACAAAATCAGAAGAAAAAAAAATTAATTCAGAAAAACAGAAAGCTAAAATCCCACCTGAAATGATCAGATACAAATTAACAAACCATTAGTGAACTGTGATCTATTTAGCATACAAGAATAATTCTTTTGTCATTTTATTGCCAAAAGATGCAGATGATTTTTTCACGAAACTTATCGATTGTAATGGCTCCAATAATTGGCATTATCGAATCAAAATCATAAATCATGACACTTTCTAAAAAAAAAAAAGAAAAAAACCGTAGGCAACAAATCTTGAATAAAAACCAAAACCAAATAAAACAACTTAATTCAATAAATGCAAAATATACATATTTGTTTCCAGAATTGATCTTTTTTAATTATATCATTACAAAAAAAAACTCTATTTTGTTGTTGTTCTAAAAGCAATCAAAAAAAAGTATACAAATCAAAAAAAAATACATTAACAAATGAGAAATTTGTTTACCAAGAATCGAAAAACGTATGCAACTATTTACAATATGCTTTTGTAATATTTTCGCACGATACCAAAAATAATCTAATAATCTATATAAAATCAAAAAATAAATATAAACATCAAAAGAAACAAATAAATGAAGAAGAAAAAGGATAACGATGAAACATCGAGTATAGACGGGCAAGAAGAAGAAAAGGAAAGAATATCGAATCGAAATCGAAATCGAAATCGAAACACTGACAACTCTTTGACGATAAAATGATAAAATAATTACGACGTGTATATATATTCCACAATATGGCTAACAAACATATATATATTTATATATATATATATATACTGCTACCTCTCTGTTTCTGTCTCTGTTACTCCCACTCACTCTCTCTCTCTCTATACCCTTTCTTTAAATATATATCTCTCTCTCTGTCGCTGCTTAAATATACATATATACATATATATATATATACCTATCGAATATCAGCAACTACAACTATACTTTATATATATAAATATATTATTATCCAGTATGTTGTTTTTGATATCTATTGCGTTACTTCGCTTACCAAAACGACAGACCGAGACCCCATACCCACCCACCAGCCCCACCCACCCAAAATCCAAGCCTAGATCTCAAGGCCGAAAGCCAAAGACAAAAAGAAAATTAAAGAAAGACCAGTGTCGTTGCGACTGACTTACTTATAACTTACTGTACACGCCCATATGTGTGTGTGTGCGTGTGTTTCAAAAGTGCATATGGGCGTGTCCTTCGTGTTTGTGTATGATATATTACTTTTTGGTTTTTGTAAATATCGAACTTTCCAAAACGAACTTTAAGACCGGTTCCAAACAAAACTGATCTCACACACACACACAACACGCAATGCAACAAGAACATCACTCCATGATGGGTTCCTTCTCACTCGCACACCGACACACAACTCTTCTTCCATCCCTTTCTCACGGACACAGTTAGACCCACACACTCACACACACACACACAACCACTCACTGTTCAAAAGGATAAAGGATAACCCCCAAAAAGATACTATGCTCTGTCGACACTCTCTCTCTCTATCTCTCTCTCTGTTTCTATGAATCTTTTTGTAACTGTCTCTTTCTCTAACTCAAACTCTGTCTCTTTCACAACACACTCTCTATCTCTCACTGTCTGTCTAAAAAAATATTTAAAAAAAAAAACAACTATATGAATATATATTTTGTTTGTTTTCTCTAACACACCGAACCAAATTATTTAACAAATATACTTTTGCACGTTATTTCTATAATGCATCTGAACTATATATTGTTATACGAATATTTATGTTTCTTTTCTGCGTACAAGATACTGAAAGAAAAAATTGTACAAAAAAAAACATACATACTATGTATATTCCCCCGAAAAAAAAACAACAACAATAGAAAATATATATACCGATACACCAACCAACCAACCTCTCTGCCTCAAAGTTGAGAAATACGAAATCAGAATCCTCCGAGTTGCATTTGTATGCCACGTTGATCTCGCAACAAACTCACACTAGTACATATATGCAACAGAGAACAGCATCGACACCAATATCTTTACACACACCCATACCCATATAGGGACTCTCACACAAAGATACAAAGATATAGCAATACTCACATAAATAGATACAAAAAGCAGCGACATCCTCGTGGCTGTCAACCAAGTGACACACATTTCATGTTGCGCCTGCCTCTTAACCCCTCTCGACCACGCCCCCTCTATGCCCTTTCAGACACACACACACACACACATGCCTCATACACCTCATACACACACACCCACACAAACACAACCTCCGCCCTTGTTGAACTTTTTTTGGGTGCCAACAAGAGCCGCTAAAAGTGCCTCAGAATTAACTATATAACTATATATAAACCGAAAGCTAACCGAACTGGAAAGAAAGCAAACCAAACGAAAAATCATAACTCATTAATCAAAAAAAAAATCTCATCTCTATTACAAAACCTTATTGTAAATTAAGCGCAAAAAGTGTACAAAATTGAAAAACTTAAAAACTAAACAAAAACTTGTAGAAAAACAACAAAAAAAATTATGATAACAAGAACTAAGAAAACTATTGAATTTTTTTCAAATATGGGGCCAGAATAGTCCGTAAGTGTTCGGGCAAAAATCGTTTTCGCTTCAATATGTTAAATGTAATCCAATTCAAAGATACCTATATATCTCTATATAAACGTAGTCCAATATATCATTATATATACAATTTATATATAGATACGTAAATGTCTAGCTAATGTTTGTTAAGCCACGATCATGATAATGCCACACAAACCCGAAACTGAAATCGAAATCAAAAGGTATAGCTGCCAACAACTGTGTGAGCATCGAGACAGCATCGGAGCCGGAAAACCGAAAGAAAGATAACAGATAACATAACACCAGACCCCAAAAACTACTACTACTACTATTACAACCGACCCAGAGATATATAGATATATATATCTCTTTATATAGACCCAAGTTACCAAGTAATCCAGTTAACAAGTCCATCTGCCAAGTCACAGCAGTTACAGAAACCAAAACCATTTGAAATCGCCCCGTTTCAGATGTACAATAACTACGCGGGCGCCAGCGGTACGAGTCCCCCATTGCCGGATATTATTGGCCAGTATTACGGCCCTGGACTGGGGCCGGGCAGTTTGCCGTACGGCTCGGGAAATGGTTACGGACCCGCCGCATCCGGGTACGATCTGTACGGGCCCACAACCTCCGCCGGCTACGGCGGTCTCTATGATCCCACAGCGGCCCAGATCTACGGCCCAGTTCAGACCTCGCCAATCCGGAGACGGCGCTACAGCATCGCCGGTCTGCCCTCGGCCACAATGTACAACGATGTGTACGGCTATCCTGCACCGCCACTGCACCAGACCAGCTCCTCCAACATTGTCAATTTGCTGAACGAGGCCCACAAGTCGATATCGCGCAGCAGCCAGATCCTCAATCTCACCAATCAGGCTCGCCAGTTGGGCCAGCTGGTGACCACGCCTCTGGGCGGTATGGGTCGGGTGGTGTCCAGCTACCCGACGCTGCATCCGGGGGACACCTCGCCGCCGTATCTTAACGACAATCTGCTGCAAATGTCCACGAGCTTCTCCTCGCAACCGAACATGTACTTCCAGCCGCAGGTGCCGCAGCAGCAGGTGCCACAGACGGTGCTGCCCACGCAGCTGACAGCGGCCCAGAGTGCCGCGGCGGCGGCAGCCCGACTTAGGCCCGCCTACTCCGTAACGAACCTGGTGTCCAGCTACCCAACCACGGGCGGCTACGGCGCCTACAAGTACGGGGCCATGGGCAGTGGGTATGGGAATCCGTACCAGAGTGACCTGGGGGTCACGTCCGGGTACGGGAATCCTCTGGCACCCTTCCAGCAGCGCCAACTGATGGCCCATTCGCTGCACGCCTCGAATCCCGCCATTTCACAGTACTACCAGAATCACGGACTCGGAACCGGAATGGGAGGAGGAGTCGGAGCCGCAGCCCTGGCGTACAACCTGCAACAGCAGTTCGCGGGAACGCAACACTACGGAGGAAGCGCCCCGCTAGGACACTCGCACATCCAGGCGTCGGTGCAGCAACAGATGCATCCGCAATACCAGTACCATGTCCACCAGCACCAGAATCACCTGCAGACCCATCCGCTGGCGGCGCTGGCCAATACGAGCGGACCGTTCGGCGGGACGCTGGCCAGCAGTGCCCGGGATTATGTCGATGGACTGGTCGGCGGTCATCATTCGAGTCATTCGCATACGCATCCGCATTCGCATACGCACTCGCATCCGCACCACTCCACGCATCATTCACACCACACGGCCTATCCGCATTCGCATCCGCACCACGCGCCGCACCAGCAGCCGCATCAGCAGCAGCCTTCAGCCCATCCAAGTCACCATCACCACCATCTGCCATACTCGAAACTAGACTTAGATTACCCGAAACTGCCGCAAGAGCATAAGCGACAAGTAAGTTTTAAATTTGACGTAGACACGCTATCCCTAGACTCTTAAAAAAATTCAAATCCAAAAAGATAACGCCCCCCTCCCCCGAAAAAAAATTAAAAAACCCCCTTTTTGAAATTCGAAAACTTCCCAAAAAAAAAAAACATCGAATATCGTAATCGAAACTCACCACCATTAAAAACCATCGAAAAAGCATCATCAAGTTCAGAATCAGAATCAGCTAACCCATCAGCATCCTATATATAAATATATATATAACAATCAGTGAACGAACCGATAAGAATTGGATTAGATCTGCCCATCTATATAGAAGTATATGTATATAGATGACTGGATGATCTGCATTTAACGCTTTCCTCTGCATAACCAGTAAGCCATTTGCAGTGATCGGTTCTCGAGTAGGGAGAAGACAAGACACCAAGTATTATACATACAATATATATATATATACAAGAATATATGATAATAAAATGGAATACTCCTTAATAGAGCCTAGGCTAAGATAAGATGAAGTTGAAGTGTTCGCATTGGAGAAGTTTGGAGAAGGAGAACTATTGTTTCATGTGCCATTTTAAAGTAGCAACAGACAAAAAAAAAAAGAAAACAAAAAGTTACTTTCATTTTGAATTAAAAACATTTTTGATCTAAGTTACTTGCATAGAGCACTCAGGGCAGAAATTTTCAGAGAATAATAACGCCGAATTCGTCACTGAATTCGAATTGTTATGGTTGATTTTTTTTTTTTGAAATTATTTGAAAATTGTAGAACCTTGCTCTTGACTCTCAAAAGTAAAAGACTGTATATAAAACTAAATGAGATTTACTCACAAATTAACAACAATTTATATATACACAGAAAAGTGAAAAAATATAAGTGAATATTAAGACAAAATATGCGAAATAAAAAATTTACTTTAAACCGGTCGGTCGTCTCGCGAATGTGAATGTTGCAAGTTTTTGCGAGCTGACATAAACCGAAATAAAAAATGAAGCTTAAAAATTTATTAAATCAAAACCTATAGAGTAACTCGTACTTAGTATGAAAATTCGAAAACTTAGCCAATTGTTAGAGCAGCACACGGACACATTCTATATCTATAAAAAATATCTAAGCGAATAAGTAACGAAATCCTTGCATGGTCTTAGTACTATAATTCCACGCCGTCAAGGACCTCCTCCTATACCCAAACTACCTAGTAATTACCTAACTAACCAGACTAACTTTAGCCCAATTAAAAGTTGATCTATTAGCGGCCATCATTTGCGTAGAATAATTATTTGAATCGGCCCGAGCTCTATTCCAGATCTCTTTCTATATCTCTCGCTGTGTACGATTAGGGTTTTTTTTTTATTGGATTACGCCCTCTATAACGCCTTCCCCAGCAAAAGCAAATGCAAGAGTTATAAACAAACTAGCGTGTGATTAGCAATGAAGGTCAATTATGAACGAAAACATTGAAATTTAATAAGAAAATGTGCAATCTAGAAAGTCTAGGAAAGTCAGTCGGTCTTAAGGACTTCTTAAGGATTAGTTTTGTGTGTCTGAGACATCGAGCAAGTGAAACGAAGAAGCATTCAAAATGTGTCTATGCGAATATTGTATTGTATTTATTATATGGTATATTCGACTCAACGACTAGTGTTTGTAATTCGTATTCGAAGAAGCGCTTTATACACTTATAGATCGATATATAATAATATACATCTAACTGAAGCTATCTATCTATTTATTCCCTTGAATCGTTGGCTAATACTATTTTCCTTGACTTTAAAGTTGAAACTCTAAGTTAGTTTATTGAAATCAAAATTTATTTATTTCGAAAGCATGCTAAACGAGTAGTGAGAGATTATTTAGTCGGTCTATCGATTAAAACGTGCTATCGATTGTTTTCTGTGCTTTCAAAATCGAAATTTTATGCTTAAAGGATTTCTCAAAGAAAGTAAAAACTCTTGTTAAAGTAGTGATTAAAAAATAACTAAATAAAATATAGATAATCGGGAGTAACTTTTTTTATTTTTTGCCTAGTTGTAGTTGGTAGTTCCAGTCGCAAAAACAAAAAAACAAAAATTGTGTTCATAGATAAACTCTTTTTCAATTGTTTATAAAAAAAAAAAAAGCAAAGTGAGTATAATCGAAAGATAAAAAGCTTATCACTAGCCAATTCGAAAATACAGCACAGATGTGCGAGCGTGTGAATAAAGATAAATAGATACAAAACATACAAAAGATACAAAGATACTAACTAACCCCTAGAACTTTCCACTTCTGTTGTTGCTCAGCCAAAACTGGACGATTCCGAATACCCTAACTTCGAATTAGCTTAATTTGTAACCATTTTTTTTCTACAAGACGACAAGGACAGAACAAGAAACGAGGCATTTGAATATTAATATAAGATATATACATTATACATAACTCTCTATATACTTGTATTGTATTTGAATAATTATGGTTAATATTCTGATTATACGCATATACATTTACGATCCTGCGGGATGTACTATTTATACAATGATTTAACTGTAAACCTAATTAAGATTGCATTCCGACTTAATTCCGACAAGCAAATGAAATATTCTCAAAATTTGTTAAAAAAAAAAAAAACAAAAACAAACCTAAGCTGTAAGCATTATAAAATGGAAACTTTTCGAAAGCAAACAATAAAATTACATACGAAAACCGAACGTTGACCATCGTTCCAGCCCACCCCCCCCAACGACACCACCCACCCAACAAAATAAAAAACACATACCAAATGAGTCCTTAAAGGACTCATCACACAACGAGGGCGGCTAGGATTACGGAACGGGTAGGGGGCCCGACAAAAACGACATATCCAATCCATTTAATCCAAGCTCATTTTAACAAAAAGGCGTAAGCTCGCTCTTGGCACCTCTTAATCGCTCATTTCACACTCAGTTGCCACAGCCAATAGCAATCAGATACTTTCCATACAACTCTGAAAACATAAAAAAACACTAACCACCCAGTACCATACCAGTACTAGTAGTCCTGGCTAAGGCTACACTCATGTCTGTCCCCAGGCAACTATTGTGCGGCACCATATTCTGATCTAATCTCTATCTGTACTTGTTCCTTTTCCAAAAAAAAAAATAAAACCAAAAACCAAATAAAAACCCCCGTACCGTAACACTTCCCTTGGTACTCCAATAATCAGCTGGACGAATTCCGTCTTGAAATACAGAGAAGGGATCAAGAGATCCTGGCGATGGCGGCCAAAATGAAAACACTCGAGGAGCAGCATCAGGTAAATTGAATCGCTCCGCGTCCAAGTTTGTCGTTTGCACAGTAAAGTAATTCCCATTAGGACTACCAGCGGCACATAGCGGTGCTCAAGGAGTCGCTATGTGCCAAAGAGGAGCACTACAACATGCTGCAGACGGACGTCGAGGAGATGCGGGCCCGGCTCGAGGAGAAGAACCGCCTGATCGAGAAGAAGACCCAGGGCACCCTGCAGACGGTCCAGGAGCGTAATCGGCTGACCAGCGAGCTAACCGAGCTCAAGGATCACATGGACATCAAGGATCGCAAGATCAGCGTGCTCCAGCGCAAGGTCAGAAACCCCAGTACATCCTGTAGAAAACCATCCTAGTTGGGAGAATCCTGTAGAGAGTTAGTCTTTTAGTTTGTTTCATGTTTTTGTTGTTCAAAAGAAGGGTTATGTCATTCCCGGGTCATTCCTCAAGTGCTGCTCTCTTCCATTAGATCGAGAACCTCGAGGATCTGCTCAAGGAAAAAGACAACCAGGTGGATATGGCGCGTGCTCGTCTGTCCGCCATGCAGGCCCACCACAGCAGCTCCGAGGGTGCACTGACCAGCCTGGAGGAGGCCATCGGCGACAAGGAGAAGCAGATGGCCCAGCTGCGTGACCAGCGCGACCGGGCCGAGCACGAGAAGCAGGAGGAGCGGGATCTGCACGAGCGGGACATTGCCGACTACAAGATCAAGCTGCGGGCCGCCGAAAGCGAGGTGGAGAAGCTGCAGACGCGCCTGGAGCGGGCCGTCACCGAGCGGGAACGGCTGGAGATCAAGCTGGAGGCCTCGCAGAGCGATCTGGGCAAGTCGAAGGCGGAGCTGGAGAAGGCCACCTGCGAGATGGGCCGAAGCAGCGCCGACTGGGAGTCCACCAAGCAGCGGATCGCCAGGCTGGAGCTGGAGAACGAGCGGCTGAAGCACGATCTGGAGCGTTCGCAGGTACTCGTGCATTATGACCAGTTCCCCCCCTCGATTTAGACCATTAACTTATCGCCATTAAAGCCGTGTGTATGTGCGTGTGTGCTTATGTACATAAAATATATATAAAATATAGTCGGGAGACATTCCTACATACATGCATACATACGTACTGCTATCGTTAATCTATGAACCCATTCTGCATACACATATCTATGTGCCTATCTGTACCAACCATCTATATCTATATATTATATCTATATATATATATATATATCTATATCTGTATCTGAAAATGTATTTACATGTACACTTAACGCATCCCAACTACCCAACAACAACAATAACTACAACAACCAATCAACCTAAAAAAAAACTCACCACCCAACATAAAACCAATAATAGATGCAGCTAGAAGAACAGACCACACTACACAAAGTAAGCCCGAAAATCCAAATGCCAACTTCCAATTACCAAATAGATTGCATAATATCGAATAGCGTAGATTTCGATAGATCATTTTTGAAAATCGTATTTAGACTAATACTAACATTGTACTAACATTTTTTTTTTAAACTAACATTTTGAAATAAGTATTATCATAGTTATTCATTTTCGAAACAAACGAGACTCGCTATTATGCAAAAACCGCACCATTTATATATCATATTACGTATACGTACCGTGGTACATCACGTAACTGGCACTCGTTACTACTATCTAACCCGTTTAGTCACACACTTTTCACCACGTTTGGTATTTTTCGTTTGCCTGCCCTCGATTCAATTGATTTCCTCCAATTCATTTCGCGCTAGAGCCAGCAGGCTGAAGTCTTACTTAGTCCACCACCCACCCACTAGTGCAACCATCCAACGATTTCAGATCCGATAAAGCCCTGACATATTGCGCACTTAGATACTTAGACAGGATTAGCAGCACTCGCCTAGTTGGGTTTTGATTTAATCGTTCTGTGTGCAGAAAACTACATAAAAAAAAAGCGGAGGTGTGAATAAGTTAAATTGCTGCCGAACATGCATTACAAAAATAAATAAGTAACTTAAGATTAAGACATCAAATATGTATATATAAAATACTGTACCTGTGTACCTGTGTCTTGCAGAATGTACAAAAGTTAATGTTCGAAACGGGCAAGATATCGGTAAGTCGGCCCATCTGCTGACCCAATATTATAAACCACAAAGATCACGCCCAAAAATATCCAGAAAAATCTTGAAAAAAAATATATATCTAGAGAACCAAGCGTCAAATGCACCCAAAGCACAACTAATTGAACGAAAATCGTTTTAAAAACTCATTGAAATCATTCACAGCTTCATGGATTGGATCCATTATTAAAAGCTTGCCTGCTGGACTCATCAGACCATCTACATCCGAACATCTAATTCGAAATATTTAATTGATAATTATATAAAATCTTAACTTTAGCTTTTGATTGTTGTGTTGCACTTGTTTTTTATCGTTCTTTTAGTCAGACCAATAAACTAATTAAATTATTTCTCGTTTCTTCGTAATTCTTCGGAAATGAAGACAACGTTTGGCAGGACCACAATGACCACATCCCAGGAGCTGGATCGGGCACAGGAGCGAGCCGACAAGGCCTCCGCCGAACTGCGACGCACCCAGGCCGAGCTGAGGGTTACACAGGTATGGTCCAAAATACTGCCACATTTTGCCTGCGAATCGAGACAGCCATATATACATATATCGATATGCATATCCGAATGCCTCTTTTAGTTAGCTTTACATACAATTATCTTATGTACATGATTTACGTCTATACATTATGTATAAACCGAAACTCTGATTTCGCAATTGCAAGTGCAGTTCTCATACAACTCTATATCTGTGTGTGTGTATATAAGTTTATAAAAAAAAAAAAAACATGAAATACTATATCTTGGTGTGCGTGTGCTTTGTTGATGGACCAAACTTTCGCCTGGCGATGAGGAGACTTCTTCACACACACCACCACCCCCACCACCACCCACTCTCGAACATCCCAACACAAACACGGGGAATCCCAAACGCCTCACCTGTCTATAACTACAAACACAGATACACAACGCCTACACCACCCCGAGCACTTGCAAAGTCCTTTTCGGGCTAAAGATATAAAAAAATGTTTAATAACTCGATTTAAAGTCCTATTTTTTTTTTGTATAATTTTATTGTCCTTGCTTATTTTAGTAACTTTAACGTAACTGTAAATGTATTAGTAACTTGTAAATGTAACTGTTAAAGATTCTATTGCGAAAGCCACCGTTGAAGACAATGTATACTAAAACCAAACTCTATCTAAACTCGTTGTGCTTACATTCATTCTCTAAATATAGGGCGAAACTGAAAAACGTTTTGTGAGTAAACCGCTTCCAACCAATCAATCAATCAATCAAACAAGTTTTTAGTAAAGCAACTAACCGTAATTGAAAACGATTGCAAACTTGAACTGCATCTGACAATGCATCTAAAGAAAATTACCCAAAAAAAAAAAAAAATAATAAGAATAACCAAAAGCTAGTTGCAATCTTGTCACTTGTTCAATTTAATGTAATCTAACTTGCATTGCCTGATGTACTAACATTGCCATTGCCACACATACATACCTACTAATACATATATAAGATGTACATGTACATACATACACACCCACATACCAACATTGTACAATACATACATCGATTGACCTTGTACGATACTGCCTCTCGAACTCATCTCTCACAGTTCCGGCATCTCGGTATGAAAACCTGCCCCAAAAAAAACCGGATGCAAGCAAAGTATGACAAAGTATCCTTCGAGCAGCTAAGCTCCCCCACACACACACACACACATACACAACAAAAATGGATATAAACTAATACACATAAATAAAGCATAAAGCTGCAAAGGGAGGACGAAAGAAGGAAGCGGAAAGTGGTCTATACTCCCAGGCTAATTGACTTAACGGTGCTACGCTCTCACTTTCACTCGCTCTCTCACACCCATGCACCCACACCACCCACTCACTCTCACACCTATACACCCACGCACCTGCAAACATTTCTTGCGCACACTTTGCCTTACTTTGCTCTCGCACTTTCTATCTCTCTTGCCCAATCAACTCACGCTACTTTCTCTCTAGCTCTTTCCCTCCTCTTAATTTCCCACTTGCACTAATGAGCCCATCTGTGGTTGTCTACTTCATGTCGAACTCATTAACGCCATGTGTTCCCTGAACACTTGCTAACTTGTTCCCATCTCCTTGATGTAATCGACATGTCAATCATCGAATTAACGGTTATTAAAGTTTTGGGGAACGGTACAACCTTGCCTTTTGTTAACTTGATTTTTAATATTATTATGATATATATTTATTTTTGAAATAAAAGCCTATCCTTTACCATTTCCATTATCGTCGCTATTTAAGCTATCTCGCTCACTCCTTTCCTTAACTCTATGTCAAAAGCTCCTTTGCAGCATCAATCGCTATCTCTCTCTCTCGCTCGCTAGACGTTGTGATCGTGTTTTTTGTAATCATTATCGTAATTTAAGTACTATTTGTCGTTATATCGTATTTGTCGTTTGTTAACCTTTAACCTTTGTTCGTGTCTACTAATCAGTCAGACATTCAATCAGTCAGTCAGTCAGTCAGTCAGTTAGTCGAATCAGTCATTTAAGTACCTTCTCCCCCATGATGGCCTGTAAATAATATCCGTTATCCAACATCCACTCTACCCCTCCGATACTACAACTACAACAACAACAACGACATAAAAATGAAAAATCAACGAACGAAATCGAAACCCCAACCCCTTCAACCAAAAAAAAAAAAAACAGTCGGATGCGGAACGGGCAAGAGAAGAGGCGGCCGCCTTGCAGGAGAAGCTGGAGAAGAGCCAGGGCGAGGTCTATCGGCTGAAGGCGAAGCTGGAGAACGCCCAGGGCGAGCAGGAGAGTCTGCGCCAGGAGCTGGAGAAGGCGCAGAGCGGTGTCTCGCGCATTCACGCCGATCGCGACCGGGTAGGCATACGAACCGTTTAACTTAGAACCCCCCCCAACCAAAACCAAACCAAAAAACCATACCAATCAACCCACCACCTACACCTACCTCACTGACCCAACCAACATGATCCTCCGTTGCACAGGCCTTCTCCGAGGTGGAAAAGATCAAGGAGGAGATGGAACGCACGCAGGCGACACTGGGCAAGGCGCAGCTGCAGCACGAGAAGCTGCAGAACTCGCTGGACAAGGCCCAGAACGAGGTGGACCATCTGCAGGACAAGCTGGACAAGGCCGGGGCCGAGAACCGGCGTTTGGTGCTCGAGAAGGAGAAGCTCACCTACGACTACGACAACCTGCAGTCGCAGCTGGACAAGGCGCTCGGACAGGCGGCCAGGATGCAGAAGGAGCGCGAAACCCTCACCCTGGACACGGATCGCATTCGTGAGAAGCTGGAGAAGACGCAGGTATGACCGGGTCCCGTCCAAGCCCAGACCCCCGCGCCTTTCCAATCCACTACCACCACCACCACACAACCACACCACTATACTCTGATCCACACAAAGCCCATCTTCGAAGAGACTAGCTTACCGATAATGTATCTGTAACTGTGAACGTAACTGTGTATGTTGTGCTAACTCCCCCTCAGCGGTTAACTGTAAACTAACCCACTATAGACTAAAATACTAAAATACTTAAATACTATATACTATATACAACCTGAACCCTCGCTTAGATCAATGTGACTGCTATTGCTTAATCCCACAGAATCCCCTAACCCCCGAACCCGAATCCTCTGCCTTGTATATATAACTATAACTACGTATCCCTAACATGTATCTTTACGTATGCGTAACTATCTTTCGACTGTCACACTGCCTTACACTTACAAAACGAACAAACAAAAAACCAAAAACCACCTCGAAATCCCAGATGCAACTGGCGCGCATCCAGAAGGAGCGGGATCAATTCTCCGACGAACTGGAGACGCTCAAGGAGCGCTCGGAATCCTCGCAGACCCTCCTAATGAAGGCCGCCCGCGACCGGGAGGCGATGCAAACGGATCTGGAGGTCCTCAAGGAGCGCTACGAGAAGTCGCACGCCATCCAGCAGAAACTCCAGGTAATTGATCGACATCCAGACTATCCCTGTTTCCCAACAAACCACTCTAATCTCTGAAAGAAATTCAAACCCCAAAACAATTGGCATTATCTACTACTCTAATAGACCTACAAATTGACATGTCTGTATTGCATATTGTTTTGAAAAACGAAACGAAAATCGCATGAAAACTGAACTGAAATATCAGTGATATTGGCTGTTTGTAAATCCGTAGCTTTCCCACGCATCCCCCCCTCCAGACCCAGTTGGTATACCCCTCGGAGTATCCTGGTCTCAACTCTATAACTCTCTTGCAGATGGAGCGCGACGACGCCGTCACCGAGGTGGAGATCCTCAAGGAGAAGCTGGACAAGGCACTGTATGCCAGCCAGAAGCTCATCGACGAGAAGGACACCTCCAACAAGGAGTTCGAGAAGATGCTGGAGAAGTACGATCGCGCCCAGAACGAGATCTATCGTCTGCAGTCGCGCTGCGACACCGCCGAGGCTGATCGGGCCCGTTTGGAGGTGGAGGCGGAACGGTCCGGTCTGGCCGCCAGCAAGGCACGCGAGGATCTGCGCAAGCTGCAGGACGAGAGCACACGGCTGCAGGAGGCATGCGATCGGGCGGCGCTCCAACTCAGCCGCGCCAAGGAGTGCGAGGACAATGCTCGCAGCGAGCTGGAACACAGCCGCGATCGCTTCGACAAGCTCCAAACGGACATCCGGCGGTCCCAGGGCGAGAAGGAGCATTTCCAGTCAGAGCTGGAGCGGGTCACCTACGAACTGGAGCGAGCCCATGCCGCCCAGACCAAGGCGGGTGCCAGTGTGGAGGCGGCCAAGGAGGAGGCGGCTCATTATGCCGTCGAGCTGGAGAAGATGCGCGATCGCTACGAGAAGAGCCAGGTGGAGCTGCGCAAGCTCCAGGACACGGACACCTTTGGCCGGGAAACCCGCCGCCTCAAGGAGGAGAACGAGCGGCTGCGCGAGAAGCTGGACAAGACCCTGATGGAACTGGAGACCATTCGGGGCAAGTCGCAGTACGAATCCGAGTCGTTCGAGAAGTACAAGGACAAGTACGAGAAGATCGAGAACGAGGTGCAGAATATGGAGTCGAAGCTGCACGAGACCAGCCTGCAGCTGGAGCTGTCCAAGGGCGAGGTGGCCAAGCTGCTGGCCAATCAGGACAAGCAGCGCTCCGAACTGGAGCGGGCACACATCGAGCGGGAGAAGGCGCGCGACAAGCACGAGAAGCTGCTGAAGGAGGTCGATCGTTTGCGCCTACAACAGTCCTCGGTGAGCCCCGGCGATCCGGTCCGAGCGTCGACGTCCTCCTCTTCCGCTCTGTCCGCCGGCGAGCGGCAGGAGATCGACCGGCTGCGCGACCGTCTCGAGAAGGCCCTGCAGTCGCGCGACGCCACCGAGCTGGAGGCCGGTCGCTTGGCCAAGGAACTGGAGAAGGCGCAAATGCATCTGGCCAAACAGCAGGAGAACACCGAGTCGACTCGCATCGAGTTCGAGCGGATGGGCGCCGAGCTGGGACGCCTCCACGATCGTCTCGAGAAATCGGAGGCCGAGCGGGAGTCACTGCGTCAGTCCGGACGCAACGGCGGCGCCGGTGGTGCGCATCCCCAGCTGGAGAAGCATGTCCAGAAACTGGAGTCCGATGTCAAGCAGCTGGTCATGGAGCGGGAGCAGCTGGTGCTGCAGCTGGAGAAGAGTCAGGAGATTCTCATGAACTTCCAGAAAGAGCTCCAGAACGCCGAGGCCGAGCTGCAGAAGACACGCGAGGAGAATCGCAAACTGCGCAACGGCCACCAGGTGCCGCCAACTCCCGCCGCCCCAGCCGGCGCCTCTCCCGCCGAGATCCAGGCCATGCAAAAGGAGATCCAGGCCCTGCAGCAGAAGCTCCAGGAATCGGAGCGTGCCCTGGCCGCTGCCGGTCCGTCCCAGCAGCCAGCTGCGGCGACCGGAGCCAGCAAGGAGGAGATCGATCAGTGGCGCAAGATCATCGAGCAGGAGAAGGCCAGGGCCGACATGGCCGACAAGGCGGCCCAGGAGATGCACAAGCGTATTCAGGTGAGGATCTCCTATATCTTATACAGGATACTGCCACAGAACTCTAAACATCAAAAGCTATATAACAGTTTGATGATTCATTTTGATATTTTTAATATAAAGTTTTCAACACACATTTGCATTAAAAATATATATATTTTTAACACATTTTATTAAACAATATGTAAGTAATTAAATTAGCACACAACATAAACAATTATATTATAAGATTGCTTTTAAAAAACATTTTTATAAAAATAAGAATAAGTAAGTATTTGAAAAAGTAGTAACTTATTTTGGTTTATTTTTAACAGATTTTTGATTATTATTTATTAAAGTTAATTTATTTATTTATTGATTTTTTAAAGCTTGATATTATTAACTTTAATGATATTTTTTAAAACTTCCTACAGACTTAAACTTTTCAATTGAAAACTCAACAACAAAAGTCCATCTATAATTTATCAAAAAAGAACTTTTATAAAATATCCATGTTGTCCCTTCCTAATCCCTTGCTTAGCTCATGGATCAGCACATCAAGGACCAACATGCCCAGATGCAGAAGATGCAACAACAAATGCAGCAGCAGGCGCAGCAGATCCAACAGCAACAACAACAACAGCAAGCTGCGGCGCCCAGTGGCTCCGGCGGAGCCGATCCCAAGGAACTGGAAAAGGTCAAGGGAGAACTGCAGGCGGCCTGCACCGAGCGAGATCGCTTCCAGCAGCAACTGGAGCTTTTGGTCCAGGAACTGGAAAAGAGTCAGGTGGGTACATCAATACCAAGAATACCTTTGAGAGAAATCACAATGTCCCTGTCCTGTAGATGTCCAACAAGGAGCAAGCCAAGCAGCTACAAACGTCGCAACAACAAGTGCAGCAACTGCAACAGCAAGTGCAACAGCTGCAACAACAGATGCAGCAACTGCAGCAGGCGGCCAGTGCGGGTGCTGGTGCCACCGATGTGCAACGCCAGCAGCTGGAGCAGCAGCAGAAGCAGCTGGAGGAGGTGCGGAAGCAGATCGACAACCAGGCCAAGGCCACCGAGGGCGAGCGGAAGATCATCGACGAGCAGCGGAAGCAGATCGATGCCAAGCGCAAGGACATCGAGGAGAAAGAGAAGAAGATGGCCGACTTCGATGTCCAGCTGCGGAAGCGCAAGGATCAGATGGACCAGCTGGAGAAGTCGCTCCAGACGCAAGGTGGCGGCGCGGCAGCAGCCGGAGAGCTCAACAAGAAACTCATGGATACGCAGCGCCAGTTGGAAGCGTAAGTATCCTGCTTCTCTCAACACCCCCAAGGACTCCTGGTTATTATCCTTTTTCATCCACGCAGTTGCGTCAAGGAGCTGCAAAACACAAAGGAGGAGCACAAGAAGGCGGCAACCGAAACGGAGCGCTTGCTGCAATTGGTACAAATGTCGCAGGAGGAGCAGAACGCCAAGGAGAAGACCATCATGGATTTGCAACAGTACGTTTTTCTATTTTATTTTTAATTCTTCTAAATAATAATTTTATATCTCTAATTTTTACTTTTCAGAGCCTTAAAGATCGCTCAAGCCAAAGTCAAACAAGCACAAACGCAACAACAGCAGCAACAGGATGTAAGTATTCCTTGAAATAATACTTTTTGGGTCCTTGTAGATGGTCTATAATGATTTTCGTGGAAAAGTACGGTTTCATCCACATTAATGTCTATATCTGTACCAATAATGATCCAATTCTTGAGCGGAGTACCTCAAATTTTCTAGGGGACCCCCTTCAGAAAGTACAAAAATCCTTGGGGTCACATTATACCCCATGTCGATGGCTATAACTTTTCCAATAATCATCCGATTCTTAAGCGGAATACCTCAAACAAATTGTAGATCAATTTGCCATCAATCTGCATTAAAATCTAGAGACAAATAATTTTTCAGATTTTTTTCGAAATTTTCTAGGGGACCCTCTTCAGAAAGTATAAAATTCCTTGGGGTCACATTAAGTTCCACGTCGATAGCTATAACTTTTCCAATAATCATCTGATTCTTGAGCGGAATACCTCAAACGAATTGTAGATCGATTTGCCACCAATCTGCATTAAAATCTAGGAACAAATTATATTTTAGATTTTTTGTGATTTTTTCTGGGGGATTCCCTTTAAAATTTCTGAGGGTTTAATATATTCACATCTAATAAATAACCTTTAATTGTTTGATTTCAGGCTGGGCCAGCTGGCTTCTTGAAGAGCTTTTTCTAAACAGTGCCCACAAGATAACCAACACCAACAACTACAACCACACACACATCAGCAAAAGCAGATATGGCAAAAAGGATAACACCTGTACTATTTACCTAAAAAGCAAAAATAACAAAGATTACCAAAAAGCACTGTCTAACTATTTTGTATACTACCGATGCCGATACCAATACCAACTATGCAGTATTTCTATCACAGATACACACACACACACTTTACACACACTTTACACACACATACACACATTTGTAAATGACACCATGTAAATGCAATGCAATTTATTGTGTAATTAGGTTGCCGCTATACTCAAATTGTGGATGCATTTAAAAAAGCAAAAAGAAAATCAAGAAGAACAGCTCTTATAGCAGCGTAAACTTTGTAAACTCTCTATTAACTCGATCTCAATTCTATCTCAATCCTTTTTCGAACTCGAAACTCAAACTCGAACTTAAAGTTTATCGTTATCCCTATACTTGCTATCAGCCAGAGCTATCTGTCCTACACTTTCTCTCTGTCAGATCGTAGACTACGTCCTTGGGCACTACAACAAGATACTTAAAGGAAGGAAAACCCCCTTTTGAAGACCCCACCATCATACCTTGGAAAGAGAATCAGAAATTAGTTGCGCGAATGTGATTAAATCAAATTAATAATTGCATTATAAACTACAGCATACTGTAATCACGGTTATTGACTTTATATATATGCTAGTCGCTGTTATAGTTAGTTACACCCAACAACCACCCCACTTGAGACACACACACACACCCACACCATACATCACACTGTACATATAGCATTGGCATCATTCATAAGTGTTATCAGAAATCACGAAACAGTCTAGATACAGATACGGATATAGAGCAATAAATGATAAACCACAGATAATACAGATATGATAAAAATAAACTATATAAATACATATATATATATGTACATGTAAATTGTAGTTACATGCATTGAAATTAAAATAAATTCTATTGCATAGCCTTTAGCCGTGTACCAAAGAACTATCTATATATATATGTATACATAGATATATATAGACCCGAAAATTAAGAACACTACCGTTCATTCGTATCAGCTAATATATGAATATTATCAATTAACTACCAACAAATGCAATCGCTATATATTTTAATTAGTTAAATTTTACACAATATCCCGACATAACACCTAACATTCATACCATACATAGATCGAGTCCAGTATGGAAGCTTTACCTATTTGTCAGCTGTGAATGCGCATTAGTACGAGTACTTACTTATATAGTAGATCGGTAGTTCCAGTTTCCACTCTAGTCCAAATTCCCACAAAAAACAACTTTTGCTTTTTTTTTTTAGACCGGAAGTGCGGGAAGTGTTACTGTTATCGTACATAAAAAGACACCTATTATCTATAAACATATACATATATATATATTTACATAGCTATGAGAGCAAACAGAAAATAGTTGCAAAAGGAGTAAAATTGTAAAAAATTATAGAGTATCATATTCGAATAACCGGAAATTAGTGTTTTCTCATTGAGTGCATTTGTGTTGAATCATTTATTTATCATACCTTGATGGAAGTTGCAAGACGATGCGATATATGGAGTTATCACTGCCAGTGTAAGCGAGAATATTGATAGAGCGGTTTGGGGGTATGCTTTAATTTTTGACAATTCACAAAAATTAAAAGTCATACCCGAGAAACAAGATGACATTCAGCAAAAGACGAAGCAAGAGACACAACACAATCATATCATACGAGCCTATATCATAACCCGAATCCGAGAGGATTATAGACCCTAGGGATGCTAGGGTATCCATTTAGCGCTTTAATTCAGATCCTTCCACCCACTAACACACACACATACCCACATAAAAGGAAGCCTAGGAAAGGGATCGATTATTCTATAGATAAAACACTTTCTTTGATAATCGATTTAACGACCAAGTAATATACGATAGAGCTGCATACATTGCTTTCACCTCCAGTTCCATGATCGTTCCATTTGTGTACATAATTTAGCCCCAAAAAAAACCCATTTTCAAGCCTTTCTCGGCGCCAACCAAAGTCCCCCCAAAAAGTTCCTACTACCAGGAACCTCGGGCGTTCAAAGTCAAGAGCTGAAGGCCAGCAAAAATTATAAAAACGAGTTTGCAAGTCAAGTAATAATTAGAGAATTCTTCTGAAAAGTTCTGAAAGAAGGACGACGATGACGTGTACATAAGTGTCTAGTTATGTAAGCATAACAGAAACTGTATAATATATGAAAGTTTACTATAAATACGATATAAAATAATCATCAAACATATAAACCAATCATTTAAATCCCCACAAGAACAAATCGACAAATCAAACACAGTAGGACACATCAAAGGATACACACCATGTTGACAATACAAACCACAACCCACAATAAAAAACACACAATCTTTGGAAATAAAAAACCACAACATATCCACAAGAACGCATTATTCAGATGCATCTGAGTATCTATGTATCTGAGCAATTTCCTAATGCTGCAAATTGATTTTTTTTGGTCACACAATCCGCGCCCCAGTTCACTTTCACCCTCACTTTCACCTTCGATCTCGATTCGAACTCGATTTCCAGTTATAGAGGATGAAACGTTTGCCTTTAACTACTTAACTTAACTAATCTTAACTTAACTTACCACGTATTGTATTGTTAGCCTAGATAGTCTCAATTACAACAACAACAACAACAACAACAGCAGCAAAAGCAGCAGCAATAACGGTATACAGTAAATAGATGAAAAACTGAGAATAAGAACTTGAACTAACGGTACTATCTACTTATATATAGTATTTTGCCGTAAAAAAACAAAAAAAAAAACACTTTAATCATATTATCCCCGCCGTCGTGTACCCTACTTACAAATACAAAATACGAAACTAACGGATAGCAACGGAAAGCTTCGATAACTTTTTCTATCTAGCGAATATAAACAAAATAATAATAATAATAATAATAATAAATCTAAACAATTGAAAAGTCTCGAATAATGTAATTTAGAAAATTTAGCACACACACAGATCCGAAATAATATATCAGGCAATGAAGTTAAGATCCCGAGCAAGGCCACTAAATGAATTTATATGGGAAGGAATCGATAAATAATCGAGAATTACCTATTTATATATTGCAAGCGATGAATTAGCCCCATTGTGTACTTCTCTGTACATAGACCTATATATATATATATATATTTAAATGATATATAGAGATATTTATGACTAGAGCAAAGCATACGATAGATGAATATAGGAATACAATACGGATAACAAGAACATATAAATAGCAGATATGGAAAGCGAGCGCAAATTATATAGATACTACTATAGCATCATCCATCAGAGCCGAAGATCGTAGTCGAAGTCAAAACTTGGATAGAGAGGAAGATGAGGCCCATAGAAAACAAACCCGATATGAAAATCCCCAAAAAACCGATTCCAAAATTCCGATTCCTTCAGAAAAGTCAAAACTCAAAACAATAGAACCACAATTTCGTGTAAAAGATTTTTTTAAAACAAGTTTGGTGATCTACGATATTGGTAATAATTATTGATAAATAATATAAAATAAATTAAAATAAAATAAAATAAAATAAAAGAATATATATATACATATATATATACATACATAAATTATACAAATATATGAAGAAAAGCCTAGTACTCAGATCAACAAACTTTTCAGCAGGAATTGGAAGAATTTCAAATAAGACCAGATAAGAAAAACTTCGCAGTAGATGGCCACACCATGCATGACATTTCGAATTTCGAAATCGAAGAAATTAGGTATTTTCTCCTGCTTTCTATCGAAAATATTGTCGATCTGAGTACTTGGCTTAAAGCTGCAATGAGGTGTAGGCAAAAAAGGATGGGAAACAAGAAGGATGCATACATAAAGTACGAGTAAATATTTATTATATAATGTTTTTTAAGTAACTTATAGTAAGCCATTATATATACACACATATATATATACATATATATATAAATTATACATATATGAAACTACATAAGTTTACAAGGTATATGAAACAACAAAAACAAGAAAAAACCACAAAGAACAACATAAAAAATAAATAACAAACGCAATCGCAGCAACTAAACAATGTAAACGTGAATTAGTGAAGAGATGGGAAAAACAAAAACATAATAATAAAGTAAATAAATTTATTATATACATACATACATAGAAGAATATTACAAATGGGAGAAAGCAAAGCAAAAAAATGAAAACAAGATGAAAATGATTATTTGAAACATGTTCATTATATATAAATGTCATTACAAATGTTCTTCAAAACTGCCTACCAATAAAATATATTTCAAATAATATCAACAAGAGTTTTATTTAATCGATTTCTTAGTTTTAGAATTTAAATTTATATATTCAGACTTCCGGTTGCCATTTTGGCGCGTATTTAGTGGCGCCCTCTCATTGCATTCAGCTCAGACGCATTTCAGAGGTTTGTGTATAAGCTAAATTAGTGCTGCCAGACTGTTTTACTATTTTAACAACGGTTTCTAGCGCCAATTCTTTAAAATAATTCAAAACTAGTTTGAATTTTTAAAATTTGACATAATTTTAAGGTTTTAAACTTCTTAAAACAAACATATTTATTAAAATACTATTCTGTTTCTGTAAAACTATAGGAACTATATTGTATATCTTTCTAAAATAAACTAATCAATGGCCAGATTAGATATTTCAGTCTTGTGGCATAAAATATTTACAATGTCTGGCAAAAATTTAATCAGCCTTAGAAGAAAAGACATTTATTACGGGCACTTTTATTTATTTTATCCGTTTGCCCCAAACTCCTTTTTACGACCCAACAGTTTGTGGGCGCGATGCTCTTTTTTTTTTTTGTGGCAAGTGGAGCAGTGACAGCTGCCCCATAAAATATTAAAAGTCTCACACACACACATACACCGAAAGTCGTTCTGCAGAACCTCGTGTGATGTAATCCATATTGCTGGAGCCATGTAACTTTTATATAGAATAAGGGCATACATATGTACATATATACCGCATACATGAAAATACATTACAAGTTATATATTTAGAATTCCTCTGGCCCACCTACAATTGGATTACCAACAACAGGCTCTCTTGGTAGAAACGAAAAAAAAAGGAAAAAAGCTCCTTAGGCACCACATCCATCCCCAAAAACCCCCATCCCTCTCTCATAATATCAGCCCCACTTTTGGCGCATGTGCCCCACTAGCTGCCTCTGCTGACTTTGCTGCTGCGCTGCGGCTGCCTCTTTTATCGATTGACCCAATTCGAAAGTACATACAAACACACACATAGTTATCTTGCCCCCCACCACCCCCCCGCTTGGAGGCAAAATTGCGCCATTCTGCTAGCTATGTACTTGGTATATAAACATTTACTGGAGTATCTACCCCCGCACATTCCAATGGATTCCTTGTCCTTTCAACGTCCTTTCCGCACAGGAATATTTGAGGGCTTTGGGGCTATGAAAATTTTGGAATTTTAAGCTTTCAGGTTTTGGTTTTTAAAACATAAACTAAGTTGAGGCCCAGTCCCTCTTTTTAAAAAACAAACTTTATTTGAAAAGCTACATATGTATCTACAGTCCGAGGTCCATCCATAAAACTTCATAAAAGATAAACATTAAGAACCGCCCATTGCAGTGTTTTGGCCTAGAAACAAAAGGAAAACATGGAAAAAAGAGGAAAAAACACAAAGAGTGAAGAAGGGAGAATGAAGAATGAAGAATGAAGAACTAAGCAAATAGTAAACTTTTGATCAGGCCACGAAAAGCAGAAAGCAACAAAGAGCTTGTTTGATTATGCTGGCCAAGCATAAGACCTCCATATAGTTAAAGATATGTACATTGTACATATACATATGTACATAACTATGTACATATGTACTGTATGTATGTAAAGAAACGCTTGTGTACATCTGGGCATACACATACAAGACACGTGTAATTGACCTACTTTCCCCACTAGAAAAAGCAAAGCCAGCAGATGTGTGTATGTGTGTGTGAGTGGTTCGAGTATCTGTGTGAGTTGCTTGTCCAGCTATTTCAAATGCGCTGGAAATACGAGTGGAAGTGAGGAGTACAACAAAAAAAAAAGCTGAAGAAGCACAAAACTTAGATAAGATAGTAGACATTAGAGGTACAGTACACTACTTAACCAAATAGAGTATATACCCCACAAACTAAGCCAACTTTTTATTCAGTATTAGATTTAAAATATTAAAATTTGAAAAGTATCTTGCAGATGCGAAAAAAAAAAATATTAAAGCTTTTCAGCAGCTACAAAGCTCAGCGACAGAGACACACTTTTGGAAGCAACAAATAAAATAGTTTGTAGCTTTGTAGCCTTGTCGCCTAGCTGGTTGCTGGCCAGCGACCTATTTACCACTTGGCTGCAAAAGCAACGCGCACTCGTATCCATCAGATACATGCACAGAACAATTGCTCTAGCTCTCCCTCTCCCTTGACTGAAAGTGAGGAATCTATTGGAATGCACTGTAGCTGTGAAAAAATGCATAACAAAAATCGCCCACCAAAAGCTTAGGTGGGGGGGGGAAGGGCGTTGTGAAAGGCAATTACTCGCTATCTGGTGGGGCCTGCAGATACAGATAGTTTTGTTTGTTCTCTGGCGCGACACTGATAAAGGCAATTAGCACCGAACATGTGCGAGGAAACTGAAGCTGAAGAAGACCAAAAAAAAAAATAAAAAAAAAAAAACGAAGCGCTAAACGAGCAACTTAATTAATTAGTTTCAAGTGAAACGCCCCCATACCCCCATCCTATGAAGCGCGAAGAAAACCACATACTCCACAAAAGTCTACTTCCTTATCAGATACTCTTTGTTTTTTTTTTTTGGCCACAATTTACCGTTAGTCAGCAAGTGGCATGGTCCGTGTTAGCCGATTGTTAACACGCCCGTCGCTTTGGCTATTTTAGACTGCTGATGTAATCACCTTTTCTTTTTTTTTTTTAAGCCAAAAGGGTGAGTAAAAAACTGCAGGCGAGTAACAAAAATCAATTGCTATTTAATATCGTCAGTCGGCGGATCGCGTCGACCCATAAGATACACTACCATAATAAGATAATAAGATATTAACCATTAACAGATACAGATACTCGAAAACACTACAATTTCTTAAATACAATGCTTAGTTTAGAATTTGCACTTGATTTCCCTAAACGTTAATTTCCAAAAACAAAAAAAATATTAAAAATAATTATTTATAATTTTAATTTTTTTTGGAAATTAAGGTTTAGTGGCAAAAAATCAATCGGAAGGATCGGGACTGGAGACTTGTTCGGTTCCAAACTGGACACTTTCTTTAACATTTGTATAGGAAGTACGGTTCTGGTTGGCCTGTATCGGTTCCGGCTTGGCGAGATCGGCCCGTCTTCTCTTCAGGTCCTGGCGGGAGGTGTTGAACCTCTTGTTCCGCTTCATGTTGGTGAACCTCACATAGATCTTGCCCCGTCTCTCGGTGCGATAGAACGGCAGCTGTTCCCGCGGGAAGAGCTCCAGGATCTCGCGTTCGAGTAGGTGGCTCCGCTGCAGCGTCAAGTGGAGTTGGTTGTCCTCGTAGTAGCCGCAGATCAGTTGGATCAGCAGTAGGCGCTGCACTGCATCCAGTGGCTCGTTTTGTCCCAGGCAGGCCAGGAGAGACTGGGCCTTCATGCCGGACGATTGCAGAATGCCCAGTACAGAGACGCCACGGTCCTCCGAAGATCCGCCGTCAGCTGGAACGACCGCCTCAGCCAAAGCCACTGGCGTTCCCATCGGCTGTTCTGGTGCCTCACTCTGGACGACCTGGGACCGTGGCTGGTAGGCAGGGGAGACGTCAGGTGGTGGCTCGCTGAGAGCCACCAGGGACTCGGCAGGACCGTTTGCGGTCAAGTCCTCTGTCTTTTCGTCCAGCTCCGCCACGGCCATCTGGGCCGGCTGGCAGCCAATGGGCTGGTTCTGGACCAGCACCTCGCCGCAACGACAGCCGCTACAGTGGCTGCCCCCCTGACCTTGCATCCCCTGGAGGGGCACGTTTAGCCAGCGGCGCCACCGCTCCAGGTGATGCTCGAAGCGGATGCGAGTGCCGAAGCGGAAGTTGCGCAATAGCTCCGATAGGTGGTGCCTCTTGATCATCTGCAGTTCATCCACGTTGATGGCTTCATCTGGAAAGGGATTATTTTAAGGTCTATAGGGTTTATTGAGACATAGGGTGTCTTCTTCTCTTAGATGATAAAATTACAATACCCTTTCCCAGAGTATAAACAACTATTTTTTTAAAGGAAAAGAAAACAAACCATAAAAAGTGTCTGGGAAGTGTAAGCCTATTCCCTAGCCGAACACTAGACACTCTTTAAGATATTAATCCAGTCGGTTAAGGAGGAAAAATAAACAAAGTATCTATAAGATACATATGTATCTTACTTCTGGGAGAAAAGAACTGTTTCTTTTTTGAAGATAAAGATTAATATTAGTCTAAATATTTTTTCAAAAATTAAAAATTTAACAAAATATCTTAAAAAGAACCTCGAATCTTCCAAGGATTGTTCCATTTCATTGCGTTCCACTGTGGAACGAATCTCAGCTTAGTATCTCGAACTCGAAAAAAGAAAGAGAAAGAGAAGAACAGATGTAGAAATTGAAAAAAAAGAGACCAACGGGCATTAAGAAAAAAACAAAAAAAAAAGAAACAACAACAAAGTATTCTGAGAGTTGAAAGCAGCAAACCTATCAAGAAAATGACAAAGCCTCGGGTTGTCAGGTTACGTTAACTTTATCGAAAGCTTAACGAAGCTTCTGCGGAGCATTCTAGTTTCGCGTCGTTGATGTTTTTCATTACCGGTCCGTTTCGCTTACCTTGAAGGTGGGGCAGCAGATCGGCAACATCCCACGACTGTAGCAAGTCGCGCAGCTCGTCATAGTCCTGCTCCTTGGTGCCCATTTCCAAGAGCTGAAGGCCGTGCGATTCCAGGTTACCCGGGGACGGGGGAGCGCCGGTGGCTCCACGGGAAATGTACGGGTGTGTGGGTGTCAGCGGTGATGATGTACACGGATTCATTCGGCTACAACCGGGCCGTACATCCTTTCTTCACGAAAGAGAATCGACGAATGAATGTTGCTTCGGCGATGTAGCTATTTTCGCAACGCTCTTGCCCATCCCTCCGCCCTGCCATCCCTCTTCACCGCCGTATGTGTACGTCTGTTTCGTTGATTCGTAGTCGTCGGCAACTGAACGAACAACGAACGACCATATGTACATTAAGGTGTATATGGTACATACACGTTTGTACGAAAAAAAAAAACCGATTCATACATACATTGTAGTGTATGTATGTACATACATACATATGTATGTATGTAGGTTGTACATTGACTTTAATTTTAGCTTTGAGTTTGAATCATTTGTGAAATAAGGTGAAAATAAGGTGCATATAATAATATATCTTGTCGAGTAGGTCAACAGATATTTAGATATTTTTTAATAAAATATTCTATAAGCTCTTAATTAAATATTTACATAGTTTTATTTTTAATTTTGGTTAAAAGGAAACTAAACTAAAATAATAGGTTTATAACACTATATATAAAAATTGTTTTTAGATAAGATAGCTTTAGTTAGAATACTTATTTCAATTTTTTTTGACTTCCTTAATATATATTTCAGCTTATAGATTTACATATGTATGTACATCAATCTCCAAACAATTCATAGATACAAATATACTGTTAGCTTAAAGATAAGATTAAAGAAAAGTTCTCTATAGAACTTTCTTTCAAAGTTGCATCTAAAAATAGGTAATCTCACTTTTTACTTTATACTCTTGAAATTTTGTACTAAAGATATTTTTAAACATATTAAATATTATGAGATTATAATAGTTATACGATTATTAGCGAAAAGTTCTCTATAGGATATTAACCTCAACTTATACTCTTTCAAGATATACTCATTTTAAAGATTTTAAAGATATCAAGATTATAAAGACCTTTTTTTTTGCAAAAATTATAAGATTTAATAATCTAGAGAGAAAAGTTTTCTAAAGAAAGTTCTTCCAAAATTCCACCTAAAACTAGATAATCTCAACTTTTACTCTTTAAATCTTTTAAGACCTTTTTACAAATTTTAATTATTTTAACATTTTAAAAACCTTCCTTTTGAAAGAGTTATAAAATAATAAGAGAAATTTCATCCAAAAATGCATCTGAAATTAGATAATCTCAATCTATACTATATAAATCTTTTATCTGAAATATTTTATTAAAGATCTTTTTTAAGATATTAAAAATTATAGGATTATAATGAAATTTCTATGTGAAAGGGTTATACGATTATTAAAGAAAAGTTCTCTATGGAATATTTATCCAAAGTTACATCTAAGAATAGGTACTCTTTAAAGATATACTCTTTATAAAGATCTTAAAAATTTATAAGATAAAGATATATAAAGACCTTTTATTGTGAAAGATTTATAAGATTAAAGAAAAGTTCTGTAAAGAAAGCTCTTCCAAAGTTTAATTTAAGAATACCTAAGCTTCCTTATAATCTTAAAATTTTTTATCTAAAATCTTTAAAAATCAATTAGTCCTTTTTTTTGTTAAAGACCTAGAACTATTTGGCTTGGAAAACCTCAACTAGCTCTAGACTTCTGTAAGCTGATCTGCATTCGGTTCGGGACTACCGAGTATCAATTTTTCCAATTCTGAAAAGTGGGTGCTAGGAAGGGGTCAATGACGTTGACATTTCTGTGTTGCTGGGCTGTTGGGTTGTCTTGGATTGTCTTGGGTTTTGAAATTCAACCGCAAGACGTCATCAACATCCACGGGAGTCACTTGGCTGGGTCGTGGCCCATAAGTAAAGTAGCCAACGCTCAGTTCTCCTCCGCTCTACTCTACTCTACTCTGCTCTGCTCTGCCCTGCCGGTTCAATGAACTTTCTTTTGTAAATGTTTTCCTTTCTTCGGTCGCTGTCCCTCTTTCTCCGTCATACCCACCCCTCCCGCTTTCTTTGAGGAGCGGCTGTTCCCTCTTTTTTTTTTTTTGTTTACTTAGCTGCATTGTCGCTTCTCTTTCCTTCTTCTTCTTTTTATTTTTTTGGATTTTGGACACCAACTTTCCGGAGCTGGAGTTTCTTCAGAGGAGTAGGGGGAGGGGTGTGGGGAAGTGCAACTTGTTTAGCTCAAATGCCTTCATTAACGCACACACACACTCTCGTGGAAAGTGGGGTGGCCAAATGGAAATTCCATGTCATGGACTCACTCCGAGGGGGAGAGGAAGTGGAAATGCCCAGCAGCTACGGCAAACGACCTTCTTCTCATCCCCCGATACCGATACGGTTTACATTTTTCGCAACCTCTACCTGACCTGAGAACACACATTTCTCTCCCAAATCCAAGGCAGTGATATGGAAACCTCAAACCTCAAACCCTATTCCTGACAAAATTCCCCCTGAATCAAATGCTGAAGACCTTCCTTTCTAATTAAATTTTCTTCAGTGAGCTCTTCGGTTACCAATTAGAAGGAGATTGTTTTTCCTTCGAAAATATGTGTATCTTGCAGTTCGATTTTGGGATTATCCATATAATGGTAGAAAAGATAAGACCTTGTTAGAAGTATCATACAAGTCTATAGGTATTCAAATGACACCAAACTGGTTGCATTTTCACTTAGCATCCCTTGCTGTCGCTGGGTGTGGAAAATCCCGATACAATGGCAAGAGGAAACCCCTTGATAAGGCGCATTTTCTTGCCAAGTTATCATTCTAATGAAAAATTCCTTTACGCCGCCAGGTAAGAATATGAAACAATGAGACTATATCTGCCCCTATATGTTGGAAACATGCGCAGTACCGTTCGACTTTCCAGGGAGGGTTTTTGGGTGCTTTGAGGTTTTGAGGCGGGAAAAAGCCCAGGGGTGGCTTGTTTTTCCTGCATCGGCATTCATTTGAAGAAAAAAAACAAAAAAAAAAAAACAAGCAGACTTTGAACTACATTGCTGATAAGCGGTCTTCCAATCACTTCCAAGGCGGAAACGGCGAAAAAACTTCTATCGTCTGGAAGTGACTAAGCGAGTCGGTCCCTACATACATAGCTCCCTCCCCTCCTTACCCAGTTTCCCTCTTTTTTCTTATCAACTGCGCAGCAGCTGGGCCAAGTTTTTCCGCTTTTCCGCCGCTTTCCCGCCGCTGACTTTTATGCGCAATTCCCGAAATTCAGATCTTCCATTCAAGATTCGATTCCGAGGGTTTCGAGGTCTAAATTTCTGCCGCAGACATCTTGGGGGCTGGCTCGAGTGACGCCAGCCTCGACGACGACGTCGACGTTGACGTTGACGCCACGGTGCCTCAGTGCCTCGGTGACCTACACAGTGCCACCCGCACACCCACTAGCCCCCCCCTACTACACACACATACATACAGAGAGTAAATGAAAAAGCTTATAGAGAACTTTACTTTATGTACACTTTTTATGGCCCATGTGTATTGGGGAGGGAGGGGAGGGGGGGAGGTAGGGACGATACGCGTATAGAAACGATTTTCGGCCGAGCAGAAAGCGAGTTGGAGTCTGATGGAGCATTCGCCAATCTTGATCCGTTGGCATTAGACGCGTTGTGTTGTGCCCCAGCGGCTGATGTTGCCACTACGAGTGTTATAGGAATGTGCTGATTGTGGGGCATGTATGTACATGCATGTATGCCAATCTGAATCGGTGTGTGTCTGTGTGTGAGACCGCGTTTTCGCTTATCAGTTGCGCTGATAAACCAGTTCCTGGAGAATCTGGACCACGTAAGTAACGAAACTACAGTCGAAAATGCCCTCCCCCCCTGCTTTGGTGATAACAGTTCCTCCCCATCATACCAGGGTATACAAGTTTAAAGTCCCCCATGGATGCCAGATGCCAGATGTCTCCCATTAAATGGTAATAGCTATTGGCAATAGGCCGACATGCAGGCTAAATAATTGCATAAAATTACAGAGACAAATAGAGACTATCTCTGACTATCTAATTAGTCACTAATACTACGTGGGGGTTGCTCAAGGTGTACAGGTTTTTGTTCCCAACTGATGGATTAGAATTTAAAGTTCAAAAGCTCAATCCCCAAGGCCTTCTATTAGAAGTGATCTCGGGAACGGGTTTCCTAACCAAAAGGAAGAACATCTCTACAAGATCTCTGTTCCCATATCCGAAATTTGTGCGTGTATATCATAATTGAAAGATTGTTTCCAAAAAGAGTTGGGGGAAGAACATCAAAGATTCGTGCCTCGAGCGCATTAACTTTTAACCCAAAAAACTCTGAAAACATTTTCTCCGTCTCGGCCACAGTCTCCATCTCTGTCTCTGTCTCTGTCTGTCTCGGTTTCTGTTTTGTGGTAAACGTAAACAGAAAAGCCAAAAAAAAAAAGCCGAAAGTCGAAAATTAAACGAAATCACATGCAACACACACGTCTCAGGTGGGAGCGAGATGGCCAGAGATCAAAGCAAAGAAGAAGTGGTAGCTTTCTTTTGTATTTTCTGTTTTTTTATTTCTCTTCATGGGGGGATTTGTGGCTTTTAATTTTTTCAGCATAAAAACATAAAACGCAATAAAAAAAAAACAGAAACACACAGAGGAGCAATTGTGGCGTCATCGCCGAAAATTTGTACGCTTTCGAACTGGTTTTTTTGGTCTCTTTTGATGTCGTCATCATCACGAAGGCCCAAAAATTGATGCAATTTCCGCCCACCTTTCGGGCCAAAAAAAAAAAACGCCTACCCCCCACCAAGCCAACGACGCCGCTATTCCCGTTGCTTGGCAACTGCCAAGTGGAAATGCAGTAGAAAAAAAAAAAAAGAGGGAGATTCGCGCGCCAATAACCCAGTTTTCTGTTTCTAGTTTGTGCTTGCACACAAAGCGTTGCCACTATGTTCGTAGGTTTGTGCAAAAAAAATAAGAAGAAGCAAATACAAATTGTTTTTATTTTATTTTAAATTCAAATTCAAAGTAAAACTAAAGATAAAGATGAATATTTTTAAAATAAAGCATAAATGAAAATGATTATAAGTATGTACATATGTATGTATGTACTTGGTAAATAGCTTAGTGATGACATACTTTTTCATACATGTCAGTATAGGAAATAACCATGTATGTATCTGCGGACACATTACAGCGCAATAACTAATCAAACTAACCCACTTTCTATACAAATGTACTATAGTAGCCAGCATGCAGATTTCTAATTAGATTCAAGTCTCGAGCTGGGGTTTATCTCTTGTAATTTATCTGGGCATAAAGTTGGCGACTTTACATGGTTACGTGCCCGCTGAAAAAAACCATTGCGTTTCAGTGGAAAAACATCGAGAGGCGGAAAATTTCAACAAAAGCCCGCTACACGGCGACAAAGCGACACTTGAATGGAAAACAAGAAACAAA